TCATTACGAACCAAGTCACTCGACACCGTTTGCCAATCGTTATCAAGGAAGGTAGGCCAAAATACTTAGCGATCAGTATTCAAAAGTGATATGAATATGAGATCACATTGTGGTAGGAATCAGTCGTAAACCAAATAATAAATTATCTAGGATTACTTTAGAATAAACGTTTTTGTATCAATTGATACGAGCTCTGACTAAAAGCTTCAAAACGCGGGGAAATAAATCTCCGCCACTTTTCAGGGGGGCATGCCTCTGAACCCTTAAAAATAAAGGAGACTTAAACATTCTACTAAGTGTGTGGCTTAGAGAGAAGTTCGTTTGAATACATTGTTACTGATAGTGTAAAATTCCGCTTAACTCCGAGTGTGAATCTAAATTTAGCGATAGTCCAATATTGAATCCATGATTGGGTGATAATGTTCATTACAGAAAATCATACTCTCTCAAGAATCTAAGAAATGTTCAATAACATTGCTTTTGTCAATGGAACTTTGAATCGCGTAACAACAATCAATGTGCAATACAAATCTATTAGATACTATCAACATCACTGCAACCATCTTATTTAGGTAGTAATATTGATAAGTGGCTCAGTAACCAATGTGAACTTAACTTCCATTGGCGTACCCACGTCATTGTTGATCCGACTCAACGGTTCGAAGCGTCAGTATCCAGAACGTACTAGTAGTTTACATAGGAAAGCGCACTGAGCTAGTGCAAAGGTTGTACACAAGATTACACCTTATACAGCTCTTTAGTTGTTGTAGTCGCGAAGAACTTTTAAGAGTTTTAGCTAATATCAAGGAATATCGAGCTTTGTTGTGGATTGTGGTATTTGAGATGTATTTMAGAAGACTATTAAAGATAGTTTATTCCAAGACCGAAATGCATTGCTGGTTGTTCTTTGGCAATTGAAACGGGTTTTGGTCGTGTCAGAGTGACCATACCAGTACCGTACAGATGTGTAATTGACAGCAATTAAGTTTAGAAGTGAAATTTTATGATAACCCAGTCAACATGCGGGGTTTAATAGCAACAATGCATTGTGGTCTTTGAATAATTGTATAGCARTTTCCTGGGCTTATTCCCATGCATGTGTAAGATAATAGTAAGTGTAATATTCTTCACCGGGGAATTTTATTCATGAGATAGAGATAAGGAATGGGGATAGAGATGGCCTGGGACGGGGGGACCTACGTAGCACGCAGTTGATGTAATGTATTCATAAAATGTATTGTATTCCATTGTTTCTCGTTCTATTGTATTATGTGTTTTGTATTATATCTTTATGAATATATTACATCAACCGAGTGCTACGTAGGCTCTCCCGGCCTGGGACACGCCTAGGCCAAAGCGAGAAGGAAAAACCGGTTTCCTTGGGTGGGTGGGTGGGATAAAGACGATGTTCTTTCGCTGCTGCCTCGAGTAGATTGACACAAAGGAGACTTTGGAGCACCTTTTATTCTCTCATTTGCATAATCTCCTTGGAATCAAATTTACAATGCAAATTGAGTTTGCATAGTTTCTGTTATAATCAGTTTGTATTCTCATGGAAAGGTTACTAATCAAACAAAGATCATCGACTCGACAATATTGTACTGTTGTGCTCCAAATCCTGCACCTTGATCATCAAAACGATTGTCGCAAAGCAAAAGAGATTGATTTCTTCTTCTAATAGCAACAACGGGTTGAATAAACACAGCCCTTTGAATTGATTTAACATTTTGCTTTTGTTTTATTTTAGATTCTCTGTTTCCTGCCTACATCAGTTTTTAAAACTTTATTTTGATAACTATTAGCACAAACTCACATAATGACAACTTTATTGACAATATAACTAACATCAAAAACTGATCATCCTAACAGGTATTCTGACAATCAAAGAGCTCAAGATGCTATCAACATCACGATATTCCACTGGGGTATACATCGATGGGTCGTCTACACTTTGATCGGCCTCACTCTAGGATTCCTGTCTCACAACAAAGGTATGCCAATGACCATGAGATCCTGCTTTTATCCTCTTATTGGCGACAAGATCTACGGCAGATTTGGTGACGTCATTGACATCCTGTCCGTTGTGTGCACGATGTTTGGAGTTTGTACAAGTCTTGGCCTTGGTGCCATCCAGCTCAACAGGGAAATTCATCGTATGAATAACAGCATCCCAGAAAGTAGGGAAAGTCAGGTGGTTATCATCTGGTGCATCACAGCTTTGGCCACTGCGTCTGTTATCAGCGGCATCAAACTGGGAATCCGNGTAATGCAGCAGGAAAGGTATACGGATCCAACCGTTACGTCGCCATGGTGTGCCTTGCAATTCCATTTTATGCTTGGATTCTCTTGGAAATCCTTCAAGTAGTTGAGGTTGGCCTGGCATACGTAGGATGGGCTGTGCTGTTTGGTTTCATAGCTTACGGTACTGGAGTACGTGCGGAAATCCGAGAAAAATTCCACATCGTCGGCAACCTTGGCGAAGACATGTTTGCCATGATGCTGACCTACCCATTGGCAGCCTTGCAGATGGAAGAACAGATGTTAAGATCACATGATTTCTCTGGAAATAGAGTGATTGCTATGGAGATGAATGAGATGGAGAATAATGATGAGGCAAATAATGGCATCCATGACAACAAGCCTACCATGTCAGAAATATGTTATTTGTAGAACATTGCATCAATCTTTGTGAAAATTTCTCTTTGGATGTATTATGATTTAAATATTTGCTGTCTTTAAGATATCATGTACCACTTTTGTGGAAAGGTCACCGTGTAAAATCAGCTAAAAATGCTTCCACCTTTTATTTTCTGTTTAATTTGCAATTGTATGCAAATTTTAGTCTCTTTCAATAGTAGAAAATTCTCACTGGGATTTGTTAAAAAAAAACGAAAATGAAAAATAATAACGATAAAGATAATGATGATGATAATGTTAATCATAATCATAATCATGATAATAACGATAATAGGATATCATACTGTAGCCTGAAATTTCCTTTTTTTTCTTTGGATGTATTATGATTTAATTAGTTACTTTCTTAAGATATCAGGTACCACTTTTGTGGAAGTGTCACCATGTAAAATCAGCTAAAAAAAAATGCTTACACAAGTAATAGCAGTCACGCTACCGAACCATCACCTAAGGAGAATTGTAGTACAGCTGACAATATTACTGTTTTTTAATTGCTTTCCAAAGATAACTTTAAGAGACTACTATGTACTTAGTCCACATACTTTTTTACGGTGTTAAATTTATCTTTTTACAYAACTGTTTCTTTAGAAACACCGACGCAGCTCACACTAGTTTACCGCTAGTTCCCACCATTTTACTATGTACTTAGTTAGGTGTAAACGTAATAATTAAAGCCCACGTGCATCCTAGGACCTTTGCGCGATTTTTTCACATACGAAAATTCGCCATCTTTGATTTTGAACCTTATATCAGAAAGCAACTTTCAACAAAAGCTTATTTGCAAAACAAAACAAAACACGATCGTAAAGGTTCATGGGWGCACGTGGGCTTTTAAATATCATCCAGGTAATCACTGAATGGCAATACCATCATTCATTTGCAATAAAAATTAAATAATTTTTTTTTCTTTTCACTTTATTGATTAACTTTCACAATTGTTTTTCTTTTCACTTATATGGGTATGGGTTCGTTTTCCTACGGAAAAAAATCGCTGTCATTTGGTGACATTTTTAAACAKTTTTTAAAATACATAAAGTTCCTTCATTGCAGCATTGAGGTTATGATGTTGACATTTTATCGTCGKGTAATTATTATAGTTGAATTGTAGTATATTTTATCGCAAATCAAATCAAAAATAAATAGTTATTAAAAAATAAACCATTAATTTTTCACGAGATAAATGGCAAACCCGTGATCTACAGCGGTGAGAGACCTGGGAACGAGACTCATAACGGCTGCAAGAGGAGACTTGAAGCCCCAGGAAGTTCATGTTCATGTTCACTTAAAATAACAACATCGACAAATTATTTACATATTTAGTCCACTTCAAAGTATGTTTGAATTTTCTCAAGTCCAAGGACTTTTAAAGAAAATTGATTTCCAAGCATTATCACTCARTGCTTCATCTTGCAATCGTGGAGACCTTAAAAGGTAATCGGTTCCTAAACCAAAAAACTATACATTGATCCAGATTTGAAAGGGAACGTTTCGCTGGTAGCTCTAAACCCTGATCTAATTCAAGACAGCAAAATTGTAAAATTCCATATACCCTTTTTAAGGCAAATTGTTAAAATGACTAGATCCCATCCAGGATTAGAMGGTTGGCATAGTACGACATGGAAAACACATAAAGTACAGCCCTCAGTATACAAGACAACTGAAGGCAAACTGTATACTCTTTTCAAGACAAGATGGCTAAAAACCCTCATTGTAAATGTAGGGGAGTACTGAAGTGAGGCGCCGACCGTTGAGTGTCAATTATGTATGAGTAATGATATATGAATAATTGTCTGTAGTTGTAGAAGACGTTTTCTGCATTGCACTCTCAAACGGTCTTATTGCTTTGATGCAAAAGTAAGACTACCTATCAAGAGGTGCAGAAAACAATGAAGGAGAGTATTCCGTTATTAGTTCCATCTTTGTCTGATTATCTTACTATACTGTTTTATCTTATATAGTGGTCCGATTGGAGTTCAGAATATAGCTAAAGTAGATATTGAAGTAGTCCGTTACAGTTTTTAACATCACGCGAAGACCTAAGTGAAGGCCCTTCAACGACTTCAAAAACTCATTAATCATTCGAGAGGGATCATGAACGTATGTGTTCACGTGCAGACAACCCAGAAAAGAAACGTTTTCGTCCAACCATGCTGCGATATCGGCGCTAGAGTTCTGTTGACATGCGTTGAGGTAGCAACTTAATGTCCCAGGGTTAGGGGGTTTATAGGATTCAAAAATAACACTAGTTTTTCTATGACAAAAGACCTAATATGACTAATATGAAAAGGCGCCTCTACGAAGCTCGACCTGATTCATATCACATGAATTTAATTGTCAATATTAAATTGAATTTCTTTTACATATATTAAATACACTTTCGTACAAGATAAAGAGAACGTTAACACGCAAATGTGCATGTAACTCGCAATTCTCTTTGAAAATCGCAATTATTAAAGTAGTAGATCTATATTTCAATTCAATCAAAGTTAATCCTSGTTCAAACAAATCTTATGAGTCAATTCACAACTGAGTCATTGTTTCCCTTGATGCAGACACACCCTCTTTTTCATCAACAACATCAAGGGTGATCGACGAGGCAGAGAAGTCGTTCTTTGAAGGAGGTAAATTCATTTGCTCATTCATCTGTAAAGCAGCAAGGGGATAGGCAAGCATCATGGCAAACATGTCTTCACCAAGGTTGCCGACGATGTTGTACTTCTCTCGAATGTGGGCACGAATACCAGTACCGTAAGCTATGAAACYAAACAGCACAGCCCATCCTACGTATGCCAAACCAGGTTCCACTACCTGAAGGATTTCCAAGACAATCCAGGCATAAAATGGAATTGCAAGGCACACCATGGCAACATAACGGTTGGATCCGTACACCTTTCCTGCTGCATTACCGATTGGATACCAGGGAGCAATGATGGCAACAAACAGCCTAAACAACAGCTTACAAGATGGTACTTGGTAGAAGATGTCAAGAAGACCCATGGAGAACTGTGGTCCATTGGGATCCATGTCTCCCATCTCAATCTTCAATAGTCTCCACAGCGCCACACAGACAAAGTTCAGTACTACCGTATAGAAAAGACCAGAACAAATGGACACTGCTTGTAAGGCTGAAAGGGCAACAGTCCCTCCAGTCCAAAGTAAAGCGGTAGCGGTGGCACCTTCTGTCAAAGCCCAGAAGATTCTTTGAAGAACTGGGGGATCTGGATGACCATTGGCTGAGAGGCTGTCAATCACAAGAGAACCGCTGTCTGAACTCGTCACRAAGTAHAGAATYAAKCCAACTATGGACATTCCAGAGAGGAACGGTCCAAGTCCACCATACTGATCCATCAYGTCAAACCACATRCTGGTTGAAGGCCKACACGACAGACGATAAAGAYCATGATAGGATKYRKTRGAGWDTDWRCCWCCAARWRSTGAGGWRCAGGTGATATTGGCATTWGCAGCAGCTCTCTCCATGCGAAGACCCGCACCACCAAAGACTGAGAACCACATCAAGGAGTAAACTGTTGGGATGGTCAGTGTGTACATGATGAATTCTTTAATTGTGCGACCRCGKGARATTCTGGCAATGAAAATTCCTACAAAAGGTGACCAGGCGATCCACCATCCCCAATAGAAGATTGTCCAKKCATTCATCCATGTTGGTKCRTGCTTCTTATCGGGCGCATCTCCTTGTTGTGCAAATGCATCGGTGTGGAATCCCAACTGAACCAACCACTGTAGATAATAGCCAACTGATTGGACGAAGAGATTCAAGATGTACCAGGTGTCGTCATAAAAGAAAACAACAAACCAAAGAAACATTCCAATAGAGAAGCAGATCTCACTTAGTCGACGGATTCCCAGTTTGATGCCGCTGATAACAGACGCAGTGGCCAAAGCTGTGATGCACCAGATGATAACCACCTGACTTTCCCTACTTTCTGGGATGCTGCTATTCATACGATGAATTCCACTGTTGAGCTGGATGACACCAAGACCAAGACTKGTACAAACTCCAAACATCGTGCACACAACGGACAGGATGTCAATRAYGTCACCAAATSTGCCGTAGATCTTGTCGCCAATAAGAGGATAAAAGCAGGATCTCATGGTCATTGGCATACCTTTGTTGTGGGACAGGAATCCTAGAATGAGGCCGATCAAAGTGTAGACGACCCATCCATGTACTCCCCAGTGGAAAATCGTGATGTTGATAGCATCTTGAGCTCTTTGATTGTCAGAATACCTGAAATTCAGTGTGTAAAACGTTATTACTTTTATAAATAAAGACTGCTTCTTCTGCGTATATAATAACTTAGACCACTGCATTAACTGGAATGGTGTTTCTATTTTGATGAAGGAAGGGCGCTGGCAACAGAGGAAGATCACTTTTGTATGAGAGAACTGCAGAGATAATGTTTTTTGGAGCAGTTGGATTGGCCATTCAAAACTTTTTAATGCATAGTTTATTGACTGACATGATAGATCCCTTGCAGTTCATGGTATTGCAGCTCCAACTGAGAAGACAAACAATGAATGATCTAGTTGCCAAGAGGGCAAAACTCTTTTGATTTGTCTTCCAGATTAGGCTGCTTTGACGTCACATGMAAGTCCCCTAGATGATCACRTGTGTTCTCTAATTGTTTTTTYCTGTTTTTAATGTGTAAAAAACTATTTTCTTCATTAGATCTWCAAATGCCGGTCCCAACTTTAAAGCCCCTGCGGTCAGATATCTTCAGGATAATAGGGTTATGTATAGTGCCAGCAAAATGACCAAGTTACATCACATTACTGTTACTCACTAATATGTACCACTTAAATCAACCTCGAGCGAGTTGGTATGATTTGGGGAGATTTCTGAACAAGTTTTGTTTACAGAGATAGGCACTCGTAGTGCCCACGAAATGACCAAGTTAAGAAAATCCTCTTACAGGTAACTGAATTTTGTTTTGCGACCMGTCTCAAATTTGGACGTTGAAGTCATAACTTTGGACCGCTGTGCCCCCCTTCCCCCCATCTCGATGCAACAGTGGAAAAATAGGTATAGGGTGTGGCCCGTTTCCATGTAACATTGCATTTACTGGCCATTACGCTCACACAAAAATCTTATCCCGGGGTCTAAGATTCCGCTTTTACCTCTTATTCTTGACCCTATTCAAGACAACAAAGTCGTGAAATTCCATACCCTATTTGGTGAAATATAGATCCGATCCAAGACCCGAGCGTTCCCATAATCCAGGTAGTGTTCCCGTAAAAGATGTAAATACGTCATTGTTTTATAAGACATGGAAAACATAGAAAGTAATCCTATTCAAGACAACTGCATAAAGGTAAATTGTATTAGGCCCGCGCTATACTCCGAACTTCACGTGCCGAATACAACTCCTATTTTAGTCGACTTAAAYGATTAAATACGCATTTGATTTACACGCCAAATTTTAAGTGACGAATTTGATTTCCAATTCCCTCTCGGTCAACTGAAAACTCACAATAAAAAAATAAACTCACTTTCTATTTCTTATCCCTTTTACAACTACCGATGCTAACTCTTTTACTCATTTTCTTATCCTCGCGTTTGTCCATCCTTTTGTCTCTTTATTCTTCTMCCCGCCGCCTGTCCATTCCCATACACACTTTCAATTTCATGTTCATTATTATCCTTCCCTTCTCAACATGTTCATTGTTCTCCATCTCGATCTTTCCCACTCATTTTATTCCATTCACCTCTTACTATCACCCCCACACTACAACATCCAGTCATCAACAATCCTTCCCCTTTCCCCTGCCCATATACATGCCACCTTCTATTTCATCATTTCCCTCTCCTTCTTATTTCAGTTTCCTCACAGATTTCGCTTACATCCATTTATCTATATTTTATTTATATACAGCTGTTTGCAATAATTCTGACCCCCTCTGCCATATTTCATATATATCAAACTGACCTTAAATATTATGGGATATCATGACTGATATATTTTTTGAGTTGCCCAGAATGAGTACTTTCTCAAAAAAATATCAGCATTGGTATCCCATAATTTCTAAGGCTACTTTGATATATATGAATATTAGTGTAGGGGGGTCAGAATTATTGCAAATAGCTGTATCTATCTATTTATTTGTTTCTTTGTTTTCTTTATTTCTTTGTTTATTCAGTTAATGCTCCTCGTTTATCTTTTTATTTAGTTATTTACATCTTTAGTTTTTATTCATTCACCTATCAATTTTTTTATTTATAACCCCCTTTTACTTCTACATTTATATAGTTATTAAGTTCTTTGTTTTTTCATTTTCTTTCATTTCTTCCCTTCCTTTCCCCATCTATTCATCCCTCTATTCACCTCCCCTCCTTTCCATTCTCATACTTAATTACTTCCACTTTATGTTCACTATTTCCCTTCTCTTCTTCATTCATATATTAATCCAAACCACAAAAAACACCATTCACAAAAAAAAAAAAAAAAGAATTGAAAAATATTAATGTATTTGGAACATGTGAGATACGGCGCATAAATCAACTGCCACACCATTGCCGTATCTTCGACTGTTTCAGTCGCAGATTCGACTGAAGTCGTATTTAATCCAATACTGTCGAATTTAATTGATTTATTCGCCGCATCTCACATGCTTTTAATTCGTAAATTGTATTCGGCACATGTRAAGTTCGGCGTATAGCGCGAGCCTTAGATTGTATGCCCTATTCAAGACGCGAAGGCYAACCATACCCAATCGAATTCAGAATCAATGTTAATCAAAGTATCATTAGTTAAGACCAAATTCAAACCTACCTTCCTTGATAACGATTGGCAAACGGTGTCGAGTGACTTGGTTCGTAATGATATATGGGTTCAGCGACGCCATAATAGAACAAACCAACACCGATCCCTGCCGCAAACAACATCGTAAAGTATGTGGCATCAGAGAACTCTGGTTTCTCGTCGGGTTTTCCAAGCTTGATCTTGCTATACTTGGAGAAGAGTAGATACAAGATAAAGACTGCCCACACATCTTGGGTACCAATGTACARCCAGGTCCAAGTTAGAGTGATCCAATCTTTCCATTTTGGAATTTCAGCTTTGGCTTGATCGGTCCATCGTAAGCAGTAGACCACGAACCCCCATATTATGATAGCCGAGACGAAAGTTACGATTGGGTTGATTTCAATCTTCAATCGACCAAAGACTTTAAAGCTTAGCGTTCGACACYTTTTTTTCTTACTTTCATCTCCTTTGGATTTATTCTTTGAGGGGCTGGATGCTTTAGACATTGTGTTGAGAACAGAGTGGAAGCTCGTTAAAGCCAAGAGAGCACAACTTCAATCTTTCTGGCCGGATTGCTTCTTCAGGTCACTTTCACTGTGTGATTTATCTTCGCGAGAACGAATGGTTTTGACCATCCAATGGATGGATTATTATATATGCAGTTTAGTGCTTTCAGGTATCGTCTATACCCTGATGCGTTTAGTTAAGCGTTTGTCACGGTATTGTTTTCCATTGGCCTTGAGGACGGAGAACAATATAAAACCAGATATAATAGCATAACCGTGRGCATGAAATAATTTCCCAATCGCTCTAAGAAGTTTTCTCTTGAGAGATGGCAATTGAAAACTCCTTTTAGTCAAATGTTTAGAGAGTGTTATGCCTTCAATTAATTCCCAACTATTCATCAATCGGAACACTGTTCACTGATTTGAATAAGGATGGTATGATGATGGAATGCTTCTAGTTATAGTCTCGCGCAATTGCGAAAGCAATGTGTTTGCTCCGCTCATTAACTCGTCCCTAAGCACAGTCTACGAATGTGTCCGGCGGATCTAGAATGTTATAAAAGGGTGGGGGGGGGGGTAAAAGTAGATGGCTAACTGAACAAGCTAGCTCATACATGAGAAAGAAACATTCAATAAGCCCCTGAGACAAAAAATTCAAAATGTTTGAATTGAATGTAATGGATAAAAGTCCTCAATATAAACTATCGATGCTACTGCAACTTTTCAATCAATGGTTGAGCTGCCTGTGCCACTGTGYTTTATTTATGGTCAGCGGTAACACCATTGAGGCACGTGGAGTAACAAGATGGCGTCCAAGGKGAAGACTGTACGAGAAAGCTCTCTGAAGAGAAAACAGGTGAAAAGGACTCCAATTGTTAATGATACGCTTGTATCTCTGTTTGATAACGATGGAGAAATAATCAAGTACTTCATTATTTACAAACTTCACGCACATGTTTTAATGTAGGAGTAATGCTACGGTGTTTTCTTTACACAGGTCAACATAGCCGTGAATGCATTGCTMAATCACGTTAAAGAGAATCAATCCAAAAAAACAAGTTTACTTGGTGATGAACAGTCTTTATGGCTAATAATGGCATTGAAGAAAGTTCCTGCTCCAGATAGGAAGCCAAAGAGAATGTAAGTTATAGCTACTGATAAGCACTTCATACATTTATGGACGAGGGAGATCTCTAAGGTTATCATCTTTCTACCTACATATATACATTTACTSCATTGTACTTACATAGACAGTGTACTAGGAAAGATAAGTTAAAAGRTATGTCGCCGGGCATATGTTTTCTCAGCTTAATATACAATGTCTACAATGTTTATGTGTGTTTTTGGTGTATTTTCCAGTCCGCTTAGCAACTCATTGCTTCCTGATGACACTGAAGTTTGCTTGATTACCAAAAGAGAAGGGAAATTGGCCAAGGAACTCTTGAAGTCTGCTKGTGTTACATCAGTTAAAAAGGTATTAGAGTGAATTAAATGTTGTATACATTTAAAGTTTACAACATGATTGGTCAAGTTGAATGATTTTGAACTCCCAGAAAAAGATTGTATGGCCCATTCAACAACTTGTAAAACACGAATATAATTTACAGATAAATGATGAAAAGTGAAGTTGCATATATATTGATACTTTAAGGGTGTACTGACACATCCGTTGCTAGGGAAATTCAGTAGTTCTCTAAAATGACAAACAAAAGTAAAATCGCTTTCGTATTGAGTATTAAGBCTTCCCAAACAAAAATAACACATTCTATGACGTCATTGTATGACGTCATCGCATGACGTCATTGATATGAAAAAATGCTCTAATTGCATCAAGCAAAGTATATTAAACGATTTAAAATGGATGARATTAATCTTTAGATTTAAGYCCGTAAAGCCTAGCATGCGTTTTTAGAATGATTGCCAAATAAGCTTTTTACGATTTTTTAAATGCCACAAATAAGCAAAAAATGCCAATAACTTTCGTATTTTGTAATTTTTCGCCAAACCCATGCTTGGTTCTGAAGAGGAGGCTCTGAGGAACATAAATATTGAAAAAAACAYGTCCATTTGATATTTTGCACCGGAGATTACATTTTTTWAA